CAGGTGGAGTATGTTGTCTATTGCGACAATCAGAGTGCAATAGACCTAAGCAAAAATTCTATGTACCATGCGAGAACAAAACACATCGACGTCAGATATCATTGGATTCATGAGCAAGTGGAGAACGAATCACTTCAGGTCAAAAAGATTCACACGAGTGAAAATCCTGCTGATATGTTAACCAATGTGGTACCAAGAGACAAGTTCGAGCTTTGCAAAGAACTTGTCGGCATGCGCTCAAACTAGAATCTCCGGTGTTACCTCCTTTAGGTAAATGGGACTGGAGGGGGAGATTTATGGGGTCCATCCCATCAATTAAGGAAGGCTTTCTTCCTTTTGTTGATTGTTCAAAATTGGCAGCAAATATTTTTCTTCTGCATTGTCAAAAAGGGTAGGTTGCAGAAGGAAAATTAAAATGTAGTAGGCGTGAGAGAGAGAGAGGCTCCGCCTATAAAAAGAGAGCTTCGGCTCTCATTTCTGACACACTAAAAAAAATCTCAGACAATACATCTGAGTGAAAGATAGAGAGCAAGGTATTCCATATACTATAAGAAAATAGTCTGTGAAGAAAAATAGAGTGTGAGAGATATTGTAGTGAGGTGGAAAAAGCAAAATAGTATTTTTTCTTTGAGGGTGTAGTGGTCTTAGAAGTATTTATACTCGTTACTACACAATGTAAAATTTCTCGCTATAGTGATATCAGTTGCTCTTCTTGGCCGTGGTTTTTCCCTTATTCAGAAGGGTTTCCACGTAAAATTTTGGTGTCATTTTTACTGCATTTTTATTCTTGCTGATTTAACCATAACTTAGTGGTCCGCGTTTGTCACTAATACCGTGAATATTATTTTTACGGGATTTATTTCCAACAATATCTCCTGGTCAGGATATTCTACCTCAACAAAGAGATCTCGAGATCGTTCTTAACCGAATATATGATTCGCTGCTGGTAAGATTATTTAGAGAACATTATGCATAAGATACAAAATTTTTATTTTGCGCCTCACACAACTGACACTAGTTGTGTGAGGCCTCTTTTTTATCTCACAATTGTGTGGGTCCCAGAATTTTGTGGACCCAGATGTATAAGATATGTGTACACAAATATGTGAGATAAAAATATGTCTCATACAACTATTGTCAGTTGTGTAAGGCACAAAATAAAATCACTCCATAAGATACAGCTGAATAACTCGATCCTATCTTTTCAGGGTGTAAACAATGATCCAAATGATGGTCATCCTACAATATCACCTCGTCTTTCACAAAAGGGATCATCATTTTGCTTCTTGGGATTGTAAGCTTTTATATGGGTCTTACATATACATTTTTTCAAAAGCGTGTAGTACTGGATTTAAGCTTGCTACCCTTAAATCGGGCAATTTACTTTCTTGTAGTGGAGCCGTCATATGAGAAGACAACTGTGAGATTCCTGACCGATGGTGAGAATCTAGTAACAAGGGCGGCTCCATAAATTAGTGGCCTAAAGCCAAATTTTAATAAGAGGCCTTTATACTTTTTTTTATTAGTTACGTATACTCACATATATGCAAAAAAATTAATCTTGCCATTTTTTTCCATACTTGTTGTTTATAGTATATATTCTTAAATGTCCTAAAGTCCTAAATTTAAACATACAAAAGCTGCACTTCAACTATATATATATTTTGTACTATATATATGCTGAAAGGAAATGTGGTTGGAAACACACTTGCTCAAAACTAAGCCCCACAACTCTATGACATGGAGATTGCAGTGGAAACTAGAACAAACAATGTCCATTTGGCACCAATCAAAGACTCAAGAACCTTATCCCACATCATAAATCTAATCTTCCCAATATCCATTTCCCACACATTCAAAAACCAAGGCAATCTCCCTTCACATATTGATCACAAAATCTAAAACATATTCCTCCCACAAACATTAAGAGGAAACCAATCCAAAAAACAAAGAAAAGAAAGGCTAATTGTAAGCAATGGCTTCAACCCAATGTTTCTTGCACCAACATGCACTCTCTAACTCAGCAGCTAGAACAACATCCTCAGTGTCATCACAGAGGTACGTTTCATCCCTCAAGCCTAACCAATTGGCTTGCNCTACACTGACCTAATTCCTTTTTAGCCAAGGATATGTAGGCAACCTCAGAAGCAGGGTGCGGTCAACTCTTTACAAAATGCTTCACACGGAGTAATTCAAACGGGCAAAAATCGCTCGTATCCGCTCACTTATCTTTGCATGAAAACTCTTCGTGTTTCCGAGCAAAGAGGGGCAGCTGTGAGCACGTGATTTTTGCCCTATATGAATTACTCCCATAAATTCAAAACAAAATAATTTCTTTTCATTACTTGCAATTTTGTGGATTTTGTGGCATTTTTTGTGCATGTTAATTTTGTTTAAATTAATGAAAAATACAAAAATATTCTGCATTTGCATTTGGGGTTTATTTTTATGTAATTAGTAAATTAGTTGTTTTATACAAAAAATGGAAATCACAAAATGGCTCACTTTTGCAATTTTTGCCTTTTAATTTTAAATTAATAATTTCTTTCTTGTAGGAGCAATTAATTTTTCTCAAGTATTATATTAGATAATCAGTTTAAGTGTGTAAGTTAATTTAGTTTAAGAGTTTAATTTAAGTCTTAATTAATTGAAAAGAAAAAATGTTATTTTTATAAAAGGAAACAAAAAGAGAAGGAAATTGGGTATTTGAGTTAAAGACCCCAAATTTGGCCAGGCCATTAAGAAACCCGAAATTAGCCCTTCTACTCGTCCAGGTCCAGCCCAAATTACCCCATTCGCCCGCCCGTCTGCCCCAAACCCGACCCGTTCCCAAACGATAGTAAACAAAAGATACACAGAACCCTAATCTCCAAGACCCAAATCGGCGCAGCTACTGTTCACTCGCATTCCTCACCCAAACCAGACCTCAAATCACTCAAAATCCATGGCGAGTGAGCCCCAATCTCACACCTCGCGTTTCCCCTCTCTCCTCCTACCATATTACAACCGTTTCTGACAGATTCCCTTTCCCCTCACATGCTCTCTTCGATTTGTTGCGGATTTTTCACCCTTGAGATGAAATGAGGAAAAATGGGGAGCGTTAGATCATATTCAAGTTGATCTGCTCCCTCCATTTGTCCCCTTTGCATCAAAAAAGGGATAAAAAATCAGTTTTGGGGAGAGGATTTGAGGGGATTTCTTGGAGATAAAGATAGAAGTTTCGAGATTTTTGGGGAGGTCTATATAAGGCAAGGTCTTTTCCTTGTAGAAGGGACTTATTTTCGGGGAGAGGATTTTTAGGGAGAGAAATTTGGGAGAACTGGAGAGAATTTTTCAAAAAAGATTGCTCGAGTTTAATTTATGAATTTCCTTCTTTGTTTAGTTTCATTTCTTTAAATTTCAGAATCAGAAAAAGAAATAAAAAGATATAGGTAATTCGGTCATCTTCAGTTTGATTTTTGAATTTTGGTTTCAACATGGGAATCGATTAGGCCGAAAATCAAGTTCGACATCAAAGTTTGGTCGTTGATTTGATTCCTGTTTGTCCGCTGCTATTGCTTCGAACATCCATTACTGGATTTAGCCGGGTTTGAGTGAAGAGTTTCACAATTTCAAGTTCATTTATTGGCTTTTTCTTAGTTGTTTTGATGATTGGTTGAACATGCGATGAGCTGTGATTTTGTGTAACTTTGATTGTATTCATGTGTCATTTTTCTGAAGGATTGAATATAACTTTAAACACTGAATCGTCTGTTTCATTAGTCCGTTCGAAATATGGTGTTCATGTATTTGTGTTGAAAACTTGAAATATGAATCCTCCAGTTCATGGTTGTATGTCCGTCATTCGGATGCAGTATTTGTTTTGCTCTTACTGGTTTTAGTTTTTAATGGTTTATGTAGAAAGATAAGTGTTTTGGACCATCAACTCGGTTCATCAGATTCTCTTATGAAGTTCTCTGGTTCTGACATGAATTTCCAGTAAATCGAGGGATCGTTTGGTCTCTATTCAAATTGCATATACTAGTTGGAAATTTGGACCCTTTTGAAGACATTTACTCTCAGTTTTAGCCTAAATCCTTTTGAATCCTGTTATCAATGCTTTAATGTTTGTGAGTTGAGTCTGAAATTGAATAGTCGAATCCATTGGGAGTTGTCATCACTGATCCTCCCTGGTTCTCAAACGAGAAGTCTGCTAGAAGTGTTAGGGTCATTTTGCATGTCTATCTGTGCTGCCCTTCACGGGCTGGATTTTGATGAAAGAAAAGTAACATTTCAGCTGCTCGCTTTTGCTTGAAACAGTGATTTTGGAAAGTGGTTCAAGGCAAATTTCTCACATCTAATCTTGTTTGGCTAAGGAGTATTCACGGTTTTGTCATTTTCCATGTTAAGTATAAGTTAGGTGCAAGCTTAAGTTCTTGAGATTAACTTTGAAATTACTTAATGATTGTCAATCTCCTGGAATGAAGGAGTGGAATGTAGGGTGTCTAAGACGAGGTTCATTGCTCATCTGTTGGAATTCCTCCCTTGGCATTCGAGTTCTCTGAGAATGTTAAGCTAGTGATCATGCTTAGAGATCATGTTCAGTGATAATGTTTGCATATCTTTTGTTCCTTTGCAATGGTTTCTGACCTCTCCTTGATGGATCACACCATTGTTTCTGAATTAGAAGATTAAAATGGACGGTTCAGGCTTCATTTTTTGTTCATATTGCAATTTGTTCGTGATTCCGTAACACTTTGATAAAGACAGCTTAAGATTTATCTTGACTTGTGTGTCGTCTTCTCTTGTGTGTTAATTCTAAGTGGCGGAATTCTTATTAATTGCTAGCGATTTGAGCTAAGGATAAGTGGTAGCAGCTACTGCCAAAAATGTGTCTTACTTAGCCTGGAGGATACTTCCTAAAGTCACATCCATTCTTCTTTTAGGTGTAATTAATATTTCCCTTGCTATAAATACTTCCTAAAGTCACTTCCAACAAATTAAAGAGATCATAGCAGTAATCAAGCAATATGGCTACCAGCGAAGTTGGAATCCTCACTCCCCTCTTTCTATGCGGTATGCCTTTTACTTAATGCACATCTTCCCTTTTCATTCCATAATAATCATATTACCATCGATCGAATTATACTTTTACAATTATTTAGACTTGACAGAATGGCCGGTTGCCCCCTTTTTTTTTTAATTTTTTTTATATATTTAGATACTTGAAACACAAATAAAAAAAAATGTAACATATTAGTATTGGAGCCAGGAATTCTGAAAAGGATATTCAAACAATGCAAGAATGTCAGTATCCATGCACACTCAATATGATGGTATGCCATATATATAACACATAAAACTTGAGGAGTATAAAACTCTTACAAGCTAGGGTTAATATTGTCTTTGTATCTATTGTGTTTGAAACAGTGTTACTATTGGGAAGCACTGATGTGGAGTATGCAGAAGGCAAGATTTGTCGTCCAAAGTATTGTGATCCTAGAGTTTCTTACATGAGTTGTCCACCTTCAGGCGCCGCGCCTAAGGAGTTTTTTCAGTTTGTCACATGTTACAACTGCTGTGAATTGGAACCAGGCTGCAAACTTTTCGATGCAGCTGGTTCCGTACTATGTACTGGAATTTCACAGTAAATTATATCCCTTCATTCCAAAATTCTTGAAAAGGAATATTAATGATCATACTCAGCTTCCTGCAATTATGTGTCACTAATCACTATGATGACCCCTGTTATCTATTTAATGATATGATGCATTTTTCTTTCTTTGCGTCTTTTGGATACAGATTGAATCTAGGAAATGAATTGTTCTAATCACAAAGCATAAGCATTTAAAAAAAAATTAAGAACTTTTCACTTATAACGCTAAGCATTCATATACACTACGAAGTTTTCAAATATTAAGGCAGCTTAATTAGGCTACAAATCATCTAGTGCACTTGTACACGTATAAGTTCTAGATAAATAAAAATAACAACCACAAACTCATTAGCACCATCTAAACGGCATATGTGTCTCTCTTTCACTCGATTACATCTCAAAATTCAACAAATTCTGCCGTCATCGTATGCAAATACATCACGCAGTTTCAAAACGAATCATGTGGTGAATTTTTGATATTTAACAGTATTTCAAAAGATACAACCATATAGAAAATCTTGATTTCTCCATAGTCGATAATGGCAGACTACAAAGTTGAAGTGTCTTGGATAAAATTGCGTAGAATAGGAAGGCCGGAATATCAAAATCGAACAAGTAAAAGTGTTTGTTAGGCTATTCTATCTTATAAAGAACATTTCCTTTTTCCTATATTTTGAACCTATCATCGAGAATACTTAGTGCAGAGAAATTAATATTTTCTTTTTATGATTTTTTCCTGGTGGATCATTAGTTTCTCCTAGTATGAATCACCTTAACTCAGAGAGTTTCTTTTCTTAATTGGTGTTCTGTCGGCAAATAAGGAAAAAATAAAAGGAACGAAACTAGTCACATGTATAGACAAAGAGCAATATAGACCAACGTCAAAAGGAGTAGTACTCTTTGTTGTAGACAAAAAGCCACCCTGTCAATTGTTATTTTGCTTATTTTCTACACGACTTCATCTTACACTTTGAATCCATGTTTGGAACGATATGCTAATGATTCATCACTATCTCAAATTGTACCAAATATAGACAATATGTTCAAGCAAGCTAATGTGCACACAGAGGGAGCATTAGACAACTATCAATATTTACATTGAAAGAAGCATCACCATAAGTTCTCTTTCTTCACCGTCAAAGGATGTGGTGCAGTGGATAGACTGCTCTTCCCTTAACCAGAGACCTTGAGTTCGAGCCCTGGGTATGGAAAATTCCTTGGTAGGGAGCGCTTCCCCCCAGAATGGGGCCCTACGAGGCGCGAATCTGGATATAGTCGGGCTCCAATACGAGTACCGGACACCAGGCGGGAAACCAAAAAAAAAGTTCTCTTTCTTCCTTTATTGTTTTTCTTATATTTTCTATTTCATGCTTTGTTTCTTAGTAACACTCGTTCGCAATAAATAGCGGTATAGGATAATATCCATATCCCCATATGCACAAAGGAAATAGGATTACTACTCTATCAAAACAATTTCATGGCTATTCACCGAGTTGCTTTTCTTGCTCTTCTCCTTTTGTCTGGTAAAGTCTTAATTCTCTTTTATGTCAAATCATCGCCTTTTCTTTTCCTCTTGTAGTACTCAAGAAATTAAAGTCGTTTATGTTCAGTTAATTTACACAAAAGTGAAGCATTAATTCCTAGTAATAGAATTAACATGATTGAATTAATTGCAGGAGCGGTTCTACTAGGAAATAAAGTGGAATGTGCAGATGGCAAGGCTTGTACTCGGAATTGCGATCCAGATGTAGCTTACATGGTTTGCCCATCTACTGGACAAAGGATTACTAAACCATGTGTCAACTGTTGCTCAGCAAGGAAAGGTTGCAAACTTTTCCACAGCAATGGATCTGTAAAATGTACTGGAACTTAGCTTTTGTCAATTATTAATAAGCTACAAGGCCACTACTTAGGATATCTATGCAATAAGGCTTGAGAGTATATATACTCTCACATGTGGTTTGTACTGTATATTGAGTATGGTATTTCATTACTTGTTCAATTAGTTAAGCTTTACATGATCTCAAAAGAGTAGTCTTCTTATATATTCAAGTTATTTTTAGTTTAAGCGGTGGGCAAGCAACAATTTAAATTAACAAGATATTAGGCGAAATGGCCTAAGGGCCACCTAAACTTGTACCAATTTGTCTACCGATATATAAACTTACACAATTCCCGTTTGAGCACATTTACTTGATGAACTGAGTACTAATAAACATGTGTAACCGTTGACTATGCTTACATGGCGACAGTACAGTTGGCGTGGCCAAAATGGATGCAAATCACGTTAATTAGGCATGTGAATGAATTAATTTGATTTAAAAAATTATAAAATAAAAAAGAAAGGTAAAATCATGAAATAAAGAAAGGATAAAAAATGAAGATACCCCTCCCCTGTTTAGTTCTTCTTCCCTGTTCTCGTTCCCTGCTTCCTCTCCCCTCCCTCCATTTTGTTTTCCCTCACCCTCAAACTCCTCAACAACCAGAAAATTATATCGATTTGGTTATTGATCGTCTCTTCTTTTTTCTTTTTTTTTTTAAATTTTGATGGCAAAGAGTATTGAAATTGAACCGGTGGTATTTCATATCTGTTTGGTCTATTGTTAGTGAGCTTGTTGAAAAGGAGGTGACGAAGATAAAGTGGTAAGGAAGGTATTAGGTCGGTGGCAAAAAGGTGAAGCGGTGACGATTTTGGATGATTCTTTATATGGTTGCATTTTTAACGGTGGCAATCTTGCCGGTGTAATTTTGGGCCTTTTCTAGAGTGTTATAACCATTTTAGGCTTCTTTCTTTTCATTTAGGTTTGATTAGAATCTAAGGATGAAATTTGGATTCTTACGATTAGAAATGGTGGATTAACTATGAAAAATGGTGGTTCGATGTCGTCCAAGACGAAGAGAATTGACGGAAAATAAAACTTTTGTGAGTAAATTAATTTTTTATAAAGTGGGACCCACAAACTACATATGGCAATTCGTAAGAGGATAAGTATGTGACATATCATTTGTGTCATAGCGCTGGAAGGCCACGCGCAGTCATATGTGTTTATTAGTGTGCAAATATATGAGTTAAGGTGCTAAAATGAAAAAAGTGTAAGTTTATATACCGGAATAACACGGCTACAAGTTTAACTGGCACTGTTTAAGTTTTACTCCATTAAGAAAATCTTTGTTTTTTTTAGCCTTTGTCAGACTTTCTTTTTCTTCTCCTCCTTCTTCTTCTTCCAATAAGTTATGAGCACACAATTAAAAGTAAAAACTAATAAAATATGTGGGGTAAAAAATATATATGTATCACTTATTTGTAGTTAGAATTGAGTGGGTAATGTTTCATTAAGCTTATATTGCCACTAATGATTTGGATTGGTTAAGATTGAAAAATTGAGAAACATCATTGTTGAGTTTTGTTTGAACTTGAAAAAAATCTTATTAAAGAAGACAAAGTGGGTTTATTAATTTATGAAAGTTTAAGTTGAATCTAATCATTGAAAACTATTGAAATTGGTATTAGAAGGTTGTATATGTTATAAATAGAATTGTATTTATGGTGAATGTCTATATTTAGAGAGATTCTAGGGTTCATTGTTTGGTGGCTAAGTCACCCTCTCCCTATAAATAGAGGGTTATATTCTATTGTAATTCATCCAATATCAATAAGAATTCTCTCTCTCTCTCTCTCTCTCTCTCTCTCTCTCTCTCTCTCTCTCTCTACTTTTCTCTGCAATACTCTTCTTCTTCTTTTATTATTTTATAACAATTAGTATCATTTGGGCAATCACTTAAGGGCCCGTTTGGCCATAAATTTTTTTTCACTTCTTTTTGGAATTTTTTTTTACTTTTTTCGGAATCAATGTTTGGTCATGAAAATTTCAAATTTCACTTGAAGTAGAATTTCGGAAATTTGAAAAATTCTAAAAAGTTATTTTTCAAAATTTACTTCAAATCATTCACAAAAATTTAAAAATAGTCCAAATTGTATTCATGTTCAAACACAATTTTTCTTTCAAATACTACTTTCACCTTTTCCTGAAATATTACAATTTTTATGTCCAAACGCCTACTTAGTTGTGACCTGTTCAATTGAGATTTGGCCCCCACCGGCCACCTCTTAGGAATCAATCTATATTTTGTCAATCATTTTCGTCTTTGGAATCAATGTATAGTTTCAAACGGATAGAAAAGTTCTATATTTATTTCTTAATCATATAATAAATTCTAATTTGTTTGGGATTGAAACCCAATTATTGTTGTTATACTTGGACAGATCTATTAAAAATTGGACCCGGGCCCAATCACCAACGATATATAGCGACCACAAGAGAAGCCCAGCCTTCTTCTCATTCATTAATTAACGGGTCATATTACATGGGCCTATTTGGTCTTCCTACATTCTCAATCCTAATTAAGTACTAATTAAATCACAGATGCTTCAGCTCTTCTTTATTTACTGTTCCTAAGTTCACTATTCTCTCTTCTCTTCCTCAAATTTTGAGAAGAAAATTCAACAAAAAAAAAATAATTTTTTTTCTTCAGAAGAAATATAACTTTTTGATGAATTCTGATCAACAACCTACACATTACTAATGGTTGATAATCAGGAATTACCAGAAGCAGCACAATGTGACAGTATGATCAAGGGCGGCTCTATAAAATTAGTGGCCTAAAGCCAAATTTTAATAAGAGGCCTTACACTTTTTTTATTAGTATGTATACTCACATATATGCAAAAAAAATTAATCTTGCCATTTTTTTCATACTTGTTGTTTATAGTATATATTCTTAAATGGCATAAAGTCTTTAATTTAACATAGTAATATTATTATTTATATTAGAAAAGAAAAATTGAAATAAATGAGATGTTAGACATGTATTTGCAATATGTTACCTTTGATATTGTTGTAAAAAATATATTTACTAATATGAAGATTTAAATAATGTAATTCAAAGTTTTAAAAATATTTTTACTGTTAAAGAGTAGACACCTTTCTTTCACTTTTAAAATTTTTTTTGTACTTTTTTTTTATTTTTTCTAAAAACATTAATATTGTCTAATTTGAAAAAAAATTATAAAATCCATCATTAAAATTTTAGGGGACCTAAATCAATGCTTTACTAGTCTCCTACTATAGCCACTTGTCCACCCTTGACATTCTCAATTAAATTTATAGAGTCTCACTTAAGATAAGGCAACAATGACAAGAACATTAATGGCAATGAGTGTGTCATTCAGTTACCAAATGTAATGAAGCTGGTCGAATAGTACGTTCATGGTGGGGCAGTAGTTTATAAATAATTGTTGATCGTCAATGAGGGGTGGCTCAAAAGAACTGTTGACCTAAAACCAAAATATATTAAAAATACCCTAAGACTTCTTTTATAAAATCCATATAATTTTGAGATTAAAAAAAACCCTACATGACTTTGATCTAGGGGTGAGAACGCAACTCGTGATGTATGAGTTATGCGCACGTCATATGGTATGAATTCTTCCCTTAAGTGAAAAATGGTAAAGGATGGGCCAATTATCCATCGTGTTTTGAACCTTGCGATATTTATCTCGGGGATTTCTTAGTTAAAAAAAGATAGACACAAAAGAACTTGCTTTCTAGTGTGTGGATCAATCAAATGTGACAAAAAGAATAGTTAATTTAGAGAATTTGAGTTGAAATTAGAAAGTAAAATCGTGAGAAACATGAAAAAAGACTATACATAAAAGAAGAAAAACAAAATTGATGAGAAGGTAAATATATTATTCAATTTAGTGAGAAAAAATTATCCTATTAACTCACTCAATCTTACGTCTACCAAATGTTAAAAACTATTAAAATTTGAAATCGTTTATTAATAATTATATAAATATAAATTATGGAGCATATATTATATAATAATATAGTAGTGCTTCTTATTTTTGGGGCCTTAAATATTTGGAGGCCTAAGGGAACAACTGCACTTGCCTTACCCTAGAGCCACCCTAGCTCCCAAAACAATTACTCCCTCCGTTTTAATTTATGTGAATCAATTTGACTGAGCGCGAAGTTTAAGAAAAGAGAGAATGACTTTTGAACTTGTGATGTAAAATGATACACATATTTTGTGTGACTATAAATTATTGCATAAAAATAAATTATTTCCAAATATAGAAAGAGATCATTATTTTTGATACCAACTAAAAAGGAAATAGGTTCACGTAAAAGTACTGTACTGACGGCATATAAGAAATCAAGGGCGAAACCGTACTTTTATCGTATGTTGTCAAGTTGGTCAAATATCCACGAGTGCAATTTAACGGTTGGGATTTAACCTCCCGAAATCTACAAGCTTCCTCGATCTATTCTTGCAAAATGACGTCGCATTTGACAGTTGAGGCTTCGCCGGACTCGCACGTACCAACGGGCTCAAGCAAAACGCCATCCCAGAGAAGCTCCGGTTATGACCCGACTTCCCGCCGGTTCTCCGGCCAAGTTGAGCGGCCGGTTTTCTCCTCGGAGTCTCCGATGAGTACCCGCTCGATCCGCCGTGGATATTCTCGTCTTCCTCCTCGTCGGTGCATCGCGCCGGAGACATTCCTCGATCGTGGTCCCGGCAAATCCTCCGTTTACCTTCGATCGTCGATTCGTCCAATGAAAACGTCCGTGATTGCTTTTTACGGCGAATGGGCAGAAAACCGGAGAACCACGACGGTGATGAAGACGACGATGCGGGGTAATAATCTCCAGAATTTGAAACCCTAGGATCCGACCCCGGTTTACTCGACCCGGATCTAAACAGACCCGATAACAAAGGAAATTTGAAACTCTTCTTCTTATGCGAGGTGGCAGCAGTTATTGTTTTTCCGTTGGGACCCACATGTGGAGTACTGAAAAATCTTTGATCTGGAACTCCATGAAATGAATATTGCTGGAATTGAAAGGGCGTAGAATCAGATTTCCGGCGAGAAATATACGGCGAAACGGAGCGAGGAAACGCTAGAGGCGGAGGATTGGTGACTCTTTCCCGGTGGTCTTCCTGTATTTGAATTGCCTCATAATGTTTATAATGAGTTTGTGCTTGTGCTTGTTCCTCCGCCGCGATCACAGCAAATAGCCGTTCGCGCAGACACGAAGCACAAATACCGACGCTACTACTAGCGTCGGCTAGATGCTTCTTACACCTCATTAATTAACTTTCTGAAAGAAATGGAAATCCGTAAGGACGACTTCTTTTCTCGCGAAAAGCAGGGTTAAATGGCAATAATCATTCTTTGAGCCGGTTTGGATTTTCAACGCACCGGCAAACTGGCCGAGATAGACCTTTTTCTCCTCTGCCTTACCGGTAAGGCAATCATTTAATTTCAAACGAGTTGAGGTCCGGGTGAAAATAAATAAATGCACCTTCCAAGAAAAATTTAAAATGTATATGTTATTTACAACTTTCTTGGAGAGTACTGTATCTTTCTTCTGCTTCTTCTGTTTAAATGGTATTTTGGAGTTGAAAATTGGGAGATGTAAAAGAAAAAAGAAAGTGAAGGTGTGTGGCTTTGTCTTCTTCAATCTTCTTCTTCTCAAAATTGTTTTAGAGCGAGAAAGAATGAGAGAGAAGCAGACAGAGTCACAGAAAATGGGAGCCTTTAAGCGGGCATGAGAATTTTTGTTTGAGAAATTAGAGGCTTCTTTTTAACATCTTTTTATAGCTTCAGCCTTCAAGTATAGAGAGAGGGAGGTTGAGGGTGACACGAGGGAAAAAACAAACATATATAGAAGAATCTTATTACTTTAATAAAATTTCTATTATGGTCAGAAAATGATAAAGTTAATTCTTTTGGGAAAAACGTCTTTAACTATTTTGGTTGGTTTGGAACTTTGAATGTGATCATCTTTTCTTTTCCTCTTTTTTCTTTTTCTTTTAAGGTTTGTGTTTACCTCGAAAAATACGAGTAACAATTAAACTTGATTTGTGGTTTTAAAAATATGTGATTCAATTCAATACCAATTAATGATCAAGAAATACGAAGTAGAAATGAAAGATAGAAGTGAATCAAACCAATGTTAGTTAGCAGCAGTGACCTCGAGATGGTGACCTCGAGGTGGCTTAGGGCAGTAAGAACGATGAAATAATAAAATCAAACCAAAAACGATTAAGCTAAGGGACAATTCTAATGAACAGCAGGCAAAAAGGTAGAGAGTATATTCTTTTCATAGTAAAAGATGATCTTACAAATGATTGGGGTGCCCTTTTTATAATAGAAGAACCCTAAATAAGGAATATTTCTATTTACAGTAGGGAATATTCTTGTTACGGCTGTCTTAACCGCCTAGTACGGAATTGTATGATCCTATTTCGGAATTCGCGCCATGATCTCAGGGACGTGGTAGGAATCTAGCTCGCTTTGGTACAAATCCATAACGGTACTATTTCGAGGTCGAGCATACTTGGCCTCGGTATTCCCCGAACTCCTACTTCCGGCCATTACATTCTTTCTTCGAGCTCGAGCCTGGTCCACCGGCTTCGAACTTGACTTCTCCGGGGCTTGGACATAGGGCGGAACATCGAGCTTCTACATCGGCGGCATATGACTTTGGCCGTATACAGTTTGTTTTACTCATTCACTAATTTGTAATTCAGAAAAACAATTGTTTTTTGATGTTCGTTCGTTTAGAGTCAATTCCTTAGAAAGTTATCCAAATATTAACAATTACTCAAGAAAGTCACTTAACTATACTTTTATCACACAGAAAAATCAAAACCACGGAAAATCCCTTCAATTTCATAAATTTATTAGTTCTAAAAAAATACTCTTGGAAGAGCTAAAATGGATGACTCTCAGTCGTCTTCCACCAATCCGCTTTATTTTCTTTCGCTTATTGTACTTTATAATTATAAATCAATTAAATTTGATCTAAATTTTAACTCAACAACAATAACAACCTAGTAAAATTTCGCTTTCCTCGTCTTTGATGCACCTCACTTGGTCTAAATTCCGAGTCGTCCTCTCTCTCACCTTGACCAACTGGAATAACTTCTTGTCCCCGCCTTTATCGCCTAGTTCCTCATACAAATGACCAAACGCTGCAGTCTTAGTCCCCGTGGCCGCTAATTTCACCTCCCTCCTAACCTCCTTATACCTTTCTCTGTTCTCTCTCCTCTCCTCCTCGTCTTTGCTTTCCACTTACTCCAGGTACGCTGTTTTCTTTGCTTCCACTTTACCTTGGACCACGTCATTCCACTACTAGTGGCCTCTGTGCCCGCCAGAATAACCCTTCGAGACCCCCAGAGGCGGACCCAGGATTCGAGCATAACGGGGGCACCACTGTATATGCTAATCACCAGCGATAATATTCGGCGTGCAACTCTTTGAAACTTAATGATTATGATGACTTATTGTCAGGACCCAATTTCCCCTCCGTTGGGTTTCGTGATGGCACCTAGTCTTAAGGACTAGGTAAGCCTAATAATTGCGGAATAACAACAATGAACAATAACATCCTGGCAAGGGAATCAACAATATAAACCATACATCCCGGCAAGGGAATCAACAATATGAACAATAACATCCCGGCAAAGGGAATCAACAATATGAACAATAACATCCCGGCAAGGGAATCAACAACAATCCAACAATCCAATCACAAGGAAGTTCCACCACCAAGAGTATGATTACATAGCAACAAGAGAATCACGAAGAAACAAAGAAAACACAATAACCTTAACAAAACAACAAAAGAACAGCTAATTCAATCAAGGCAATTAAGGCCAAGTAACAGGTAAGAGTTAGAGGAAAGCTAACAAAATCGTATAGAGCATATAGAGGTAAATTATGCAATTAGATAACTCAATCATAACCGATTACTTCCCATATGATGAACATAAGGGCCTAAAAACCCTAAAGGAAATTTTCCCACAAATAAGTCCGAGCACACACTCGTCACCTCGCGTGCGCGGACTACAATTAGCATGGAAGACTCAAATCCTAAGGGGAAGTCCCCCACACAAGGTTAGGCAAGATACTTACCTCAAAGACGACAAACCGATACTCTAAAATGAATTTCTCGGGTGAAAAGACCTCCGGACGGCTCAAATCTAACCAAATTAACTTCAAAGCACAAATAAAACACATAAGAAACTATTCTGGATCATAAAGTTTCAATCTTTAACAAAATCTAAAAATCGATCCAAAAGTCGACCCCCGGGCCCGCACCTCGGAACCCGACAAATTTTACAAAAATCGAATACCCATTCCAATATGAGTTCAACCATACAAAAATTATCAAATTCCGATACCATTTTGTCCCTCAAATCATGAAATTTGGTTTTGAAAACTTTCTTCAAAAACCAACATTTTCCCTAACTAAAAACACAATTTAAATGATAAAAATAAAGACTAATTCATGTAATATATTTAAGTCTCAGTGAAGAACACTTACCCAATCGATTTGTGTGAAAACCCCTCAAAGAATCGCTCAAAACCGAGCTCCACAAGTCCAAATATGATAAAATGGTGAAACCCTCGATTTTGGAATATATTCTGTCCGCCCAGGCATTTGTGCATCGCGAACGCGAAAGAAGTATCGCGTTCGCGAAGAAGAGAATGAAGGCTGCCCAGGTTACTCAACGCGAACGCGACAATAAGTCCGCGAACACGTAGAAGGAAAGTCTGATGTCCCAAAGACTGCTCTTCGTCAACGCGTGAACTAGTACGCGAACGCGAAGGGTGGGATGGCATAACTACGTGAACACGATGGACAGATGCGAACGCGATGAATGAAGAGACAGAGCTACGCGAACGCGAGGCGTATTACGCGAACGTGAAAAAGGAAAATTAGGCTACCAGCAGAGACACTTCGCGAACGCGGGAGGGTTTTCGCGAACGCGAAGGAGGATATCAGATACCAGAAACAGCAGTTCAAAAACAAGGGAGAATGGCCCGTAGCCCACCAGGAACACACCTGAGGCCCCCCGGGACCCCGTCTAAACACACAAACAAGTCTATAACCTAACACGGACTCGCTCGAGGTTTCGAATCACATTAAACAACACTGAAACAACGAATCAAACCATAAATCGAACTTATGAACTTTCAAATCTTCAAATTTCAAAACTCGTGCCGAAACCTATCAAATCAATCCGGAATGACGCCAAATTTTGCAGACAAGTCCAAAATGACATAACGGAGCTGTTCCAACTCTCAGAATCGCATTCCGACCCCGATATTACAAAAGTCAACTATGGGTCAAACTTCTCCATTTTCCAAACTTCAACTTTTCCAACTTTCGCCAAAATGCCTCAAATTATCCTACGGACCTCCAAATCCGAATCCGGACGCACGCCTAAGTCCAAAATCACCATACGAAGCTGTTGAGATCACCCAAAACCCATTCCGGGGACGTTTACTCAAAAGTCCTATTCCGATCAAATTCTCACCGTTTAAACTTCCAAAACTAGTTTCCTTCTTCCAATTTGATTCTGAATCATCCGTTAACTGAATTCAACCATGCACGCAAGTCGATACACATATTATGAAGCTTTTCAAGACCTTAAGCTGCCGAACGGAGCTTAAATTCTCAAAATGACCAGCCGGGTCGTTACATCCTCCCCCTCTTAAAACCAACATTCGTCCTCGAACGTGCCAAGATTCGCCTCGAAGTCCTCAAGTTGTTGAATGCACACTTCCAACATACACCCGTGGGTGATCCCACGTCACCCTAATCCACATAAACCTGACGACATCATCTTAACTGAAATTTAGCCTTTCTATCAATACCAATAAGCCTTAGAGCCAGAATTCTCACCTTCCATCCATTTCCAAAGACCCGATTCTAAATCCATACCCGGTTTCAGTTTCAACTAGCTGTAACTACTTATGCCTACACCCACAGAGTACAACCACACAACATACACACCATGCATAGGCCTCTAATAATATTCCTTATCACAATACGTGCCCAAAATCAAATCCTGCACCGGCCATAAGCCTCAAATTCCATAGGAACCCGTTTCAAACCTCCACAACACTGACGATGATTCAATAACCACGAAAACCATACAGCTAACACCCGAATCACAAATTCACAACTAATACCAATGGGCACACACCCCACCAGCTAGAACTCAAGAAGCACAAAACAAAAATGATTGAATATGGAAAGGAAACACATAAAGGAACTATCAAACAAGTCCGTCAAGCACAAATTTTTCTATCAAAACTAATTTACAACACAATCTAACAAGAAAGAATTAAAGCATATAGAAGAATCACAAGGATCTCATACTGATATAATTTCTACTGCGGTACACAGTCCGATCTCAACACATAAAATCACATGAAACAACGAGGGTCTTGCCCTCAACTCTGAATCTCAAGTAGGGTACACATCAAATCAGCTGGAAACTCTCACTAGATCAATTCCGTCACAATTTACAACAAGTATTGGCTCCCACACCGGTGGAGCATAAAATCACGGCTCCTAGCCAAAAATACTCATAAATCACATCAAGCCTACCGAGAAGGACAACAGAAATTTACTACTAGTCTCATAACTCTCGATAATAAACAAAAATAGACGATAGACACGGCTATCACTAATAGAACCTTCCTACAGGGTTACACATAAACAGAGTGTATATTATGAAACGCACCCATAAGTGGAGCAACAAATAGGGGAACTCACCCCGATAAGCAGAGCTGTAATGAACTACGGATGGTGCTCCTCTATAACAAATCAAAATCATACCTGAATGACATCAT